GTACTCTAAATACCACCTCGGCACACAGGACCTTACAGGAAACCCCAGAGCACCAAAACCAACAAAAAAACCTGTTCCCTAAACTACCCAAAATCACTGCCCCCCCCCCCCCTTAAAACCCAAAAACCCCAAACCCGTGACGTCTTATACGTCTTCTTCAGCAGCGTTCTTGAAACCATAAAACATTTCTCCTGCCATGCCCTGTCCTGTCGTCCTTCACCACTAATACACGTCCGGTTTCAAAACAAATTTGAAAAAAGGGTATTTTGGAGAGGTTTTACAACATGAAAATTTAGAAAATAAACAGGAAATGTGTTCTCTATATAGTTGTTATTTTTGTCATCTCTGAACAAGACATAAATACCCCAAAATTAAAAATTATTCAGTTTTTGAAGGAAACAGATTAAGAAAAATACTTTACCGGGGACATATTATAAAAACAGATAATAAAAGAAACAAAGTCCCCGGCCCCAGACTTATTTTAAAGAGTACAAAGGAATTAAAGTTAAGTTAGTATTAACGAGGGGTGTTTAAAGGTTCCAAATTGGTTGCCAGAGATGTGGAAAGGGTGATTAATTCCCATATTTAAATCAGGGGATAACTCCCTTCTATCAAATTTTCCCCTAAAATTTCCCGACCCATATATGCAAAATTGAATTTTTATAGTGATTTATTAGAAGTCACCTTGAAGGCACTTTTTTATTTAAATTTTTCTCAAATGGATTCACAAGAGGCGTTCCTGCCTGGCAAATTTTTGGACTGATGAATCACTGTGTGGGGAAACGTTTCCCGAGGCAGGATACTTAAACCGCTTCTAAGAAGTTTTTAGTGCTCCCCTGTGGCGATGTTGCCAGAAAAATCGCCGGCCTTCTAAGAGTAAAAATTTATTTTCACCATAAACCACACTATAAAGACCTCCCCCGACGGTTATCACTCCTAAAACAGTTTTTTCATCCCCCCCTGAAAAATTTTATCCAAAAAGACTCTGTATGTTTTATTTAGCTTTAAAACCCTTTTTATGCAAAAGTTCAAGCGATTGGACATACAATGCCCCCCCCCCCCCCTTCCCCCATACTTCTACTCTTGAACAAATTTTAAAACCCCGAATTGACATTTCCCCAGGGGATGCCACTTTTTTGAATTAAACCCCGTCTCAGTTAAAGGGAAATACACAATGTTACGCACTAGCAACTAAACCAAATCGTCCATCTTATTCCTCACTACGGCAAAAGCATAATAAACATTGAAAGACCTTTTTTTCTCTTTACCCCTTTCCCGCTAATTTTTGTTTTTCTACAAAAACCCATTACTGTCCTTTTTCACCCAAAGTCCCCCGGCTTTTCAATATCTATCTCGTTCTGCTTATTACTAGTTCCCCTAGAACTCGTAATATTACTACACTGGGACTTCACTGTTTTCCTGCCAAAACCCATACCACTAACTATTCCTAGTTTAAAGTCCTAACTGCTCCCTCCACTGCAGTTGCCAGTGCTCCCACCCCAGACCTAGATAAGTGAACCCCATCCCTGGCATACATGTCATTTCTGCCATAGAAGAGGTCCCAGTTGTCAATGAATGTTACCGCATTTTCCTTACAGTATTTGTCCAGCCAGCAATTGACACCAATTGCCCTGGACAACCATTCATTTCCAACTCCTCTCCTTGGCAAAATACCACATATGACAGGGTTCCCACCCTTATTCCTTTTGAAAATGCACTATCTTACCTCGTAACGAATCTGAACTGTTCCAACCTCAGAATGGAACTATTCCACATGTCCAAGAGAGACTTTAAAAGACTCAAGAGTGGCTCCGTCACCAGCGAAGTGTAGCCAAACACACAACACGCTTCCGCAACACACAATGTGAGCCTCCCGAAGCCTGACGTCGAAACCAGCTCTTCACCTCAGCCTGAAGCATATCAGCCAGCAAGCACTGTCTGCAGTCTGCCCTCTCTACACTGCCTCGCAGTGCCACGCAGCTGGGTTTAGCCCTGGCTATTTCATCTACAACTCAAGACCTTCCTTTCACCGACTATTCTTCGTCTGTCCACACTTCCCCATTCACCCACCGGAGTCCCAAAAGAGCCTGCTATGAGTTCTTTATGACTGTCCCACGATCGACTTAGCTGCTGGGTTAAGCCCTGGCTCTATTTCTGCAACTAAGAACACTCCTCTCCAGCACTATTCTTCGTCTGTCCCGTCTTCCCCGCTCATCCCATTTGGAATCTTACCTGAACTTTCGTTCGTTCGTTCGTTACTTCTACTCCATATTGTTTCAGACTATGGAACAATACTCTTCTCCAGACTGAGGGACTGACCACCTCAAAACTTCAAGGGTGATGGACTGATTACATCGTCTTCAAATCTCTTCTGCTTCTATCAACTTTTCTGTACTCGACTGAAGAAGCCTACTGTGTAGGCGAAACGTTTCGAAATAAAGATACCTAACTGTTGCATATGTGTCTTACCTAACAACCTGTCGGTATTTTATACCATTTTAATGAAACAAAGTTCCCGGGACCCGATGACTTATTTTCAAGAGTACTTAAGGAATGAAAGTTGGAAGTTAGCTATTAACGAGCGTGTTTAATGCGTCCATCCAAAATTTCTAAAACATTAGAGTACATGATACTCAAGCAGACAAAGCACCACCAACCTAGCGTACATGATACTCAAGCAGACAAAGCACCACCAACCTAGCGTACATGATACTCAAGCAGACAAAGCACCACCAACCTAGCGTACATGATACTCAAGCAGACAAAGCACCACCAACCTAGCGTACATGATACTCAAGCAGACAAAGCACCACCAACCTAGCGTACATGATACTCAAGCAGACAAAGCACCACCAACCCAACAACACAGGAGTCACATGATCTCATCGTCTACCCGTTCTCATCCCTACATGTTATTCTTCAGGTTATGCATCACTCGCACCTCACTCACCGCCTATATATACTGTCTTTCAACCTCTGTATGTTAGAAGTGATCAAGGTCCCAGGACCGAAACGTTCTCTAATAAATATGTCCTACTATTTGCTTACGTGTTTTTCTGAACCTTTTCAAAAAGTACAAGCAACAGGACTCCGAAAGTTGTTTTATAGGTTTATACATGCGAGGCCTCAGTTGGATTATGAGGTTCAGTCTGGGTTTCTTTACTACAAGATGGAGATAAATGCATTGGAGATCATACAGAGAAGAATGACAAATGGTTTACTGTATAAGGAATCTTCCGTATGAAGATAGACTTAAGTCATGAATCTTCACTCTCTTGAGAGACATAGAATGAGGGGAGATGTCATCGACGTGGATAAGTGGATAACGGGCATAAACAAAGGCAATACTTATAAAATGTTGAGGGTGTCGAACCAGGTAAGAGCCAGGAATAACGGATATAAATTAGATAAATTTAGATTTAGAAAGGACATAGGCAGGCATAGATTTTCAAAGATTTGTGGATGCTTGGAACAATCTTCCGAGTAGGGTACTCGAGGCTAGGACCCTGGGTAGCTTTAAAGAGAGATTGGACATATATACGAGTGGGAGGGGCTGGGTTTGACTTGTGTCATGGGTACGGTAGTAAATTCTTGGGTAGCCTTGGGAAGGGATGGGTTTGACAAGAAGCTGCCTTGTATGGGCCAGTAGGCGCAGTGTTTGCCAAACATTCAAACATTGCTTGCTCTTAATGGACACTTATAAACAAACATTTGCAGTAACATCTGGAGGAGACTTATGTTTATCGCAACACAACAACAAAACACGCAACGGGGGACTTAAATATATGTTTATAACACTAAAAAACAAAGCTGACGCAACTGGGGATTTAACTAAAAGTTTTGATAAGGTCATTAGAGCGTATTTGGGCTTAATTAAACATTACTTTGAAAAAACATTCGCCAAATGTTCAAAACATTGATAAAACTGACATGATTAACTGCAGGAAATTATAGAGTTGCTGTAAACATTGCAGAGTTGTAAGTTTACTTTTAATTATTGTGATTATTATTATTAATTTATTACTGATATAATTATTATTTTTAGTTATTACTGTGTATAATAGAGGGTGTTTGTGGGTTATGATTGATTAGATTAGTGATCTAATCAATCCACGTGTTTAATTCAGCCTAGAAATCTGCCGTCCCATTGTCAGCTCTCTGAATTCTTCCGTCTAGTTGCACAGGGCAGTGTGTGCAGTATGCAACTTCAGGTGTGTTGCATTTAATGATAGAATGGACACTTACTAGTGGAGTGTGGGAGTCTCGGGATAATGGGTAGGTACTTACTAGTGGAGTGTGGGAGTCTTGGGATGATGGGTAGGTACTTACTAGTGGTGTGTGGGAGTCTTGGGATGATGGGTAGGTACTTACTAGTGGAGTGTGGGAGTCTTGGGATAATGGGTAGGTACTTACTAGTGGTGTGTGGAGTCTTGGGATGATGGGTAGGTACTTACTAGTGGAGTGTGGGAGTCTTGGGATAATGGGTAGGTACTTACTAGTGGAGTGTGGGAGTCTTGGGATAATGGGTAGGTACTTACTAGTGGTGTGTGGGAGTCTTGGGATAATGGGTAGGTACTTACTAGTGGAGTGTGGGAGTCTTGGGATAATGGGTAGGTACTTACTAGTGGTGTGTGGGAGTCTTGGGATAATGGGTAGATACTTACTAGTGGAGTGTGGGAGTCTTGGGATAATGGGTAGGTACTTACTAGTGGTGTGTGGGAGTCTTGGGATAATGGGTAGATACTTACTAGTGGAGTGTGGGAGTCTTGGGACAACGGGTAGGTACTTACTAGTGGAGTGAGGGAGTCTTGGGACAACGGGTAGGTACTTACTAGTGGAGTGAGGGAGTCTTGGGACAACGGGTAGGTACTTACTAGTGGAGTGTGGGAGTCTTGGGACAACGGGTAGGTACTTACTAGTGGAGTGTGGGAGTCTTGGGACAACGGGTAGGTACTTACTAGTGGAGTGTGGGAGTCTTGGGACAACGGGTAGGTACTTACTAGTGGAGTGAGGGAGTCTTGGGACATCTGAGCTGCTTGCTTCTGAGCCACACTCTGCCACCGCCTTATTTACAGCCAAGGAGCCATTTACTGCCGTGAAATGTTATCTAATTCGCGTTGTAATGTATTATCGAGTGTTAGAGCACTTCACTACACATAGGCTTGTCGTACGATAAGTCCTCCTAATTAACTAAGCTGTTAATAAATCGGCTGAGCTAGGCAGAGTCTCGTGCACTTGACTGTTCACTCACTGCGGGTTTTTGTGACTGAAGTCGGGGTAGACAGCCTGGGGTAAGCTGTGTGTGGGTATTGGGCAGTCATGGCTGCCTGAACAAGTGGTTACTGTTGGAGGAGATGTAGACACTAAACTACTGGATATCTAACTTCTAACTCTAGCTCAGCTTAATACATGTAAATAGCAGTGTATAATACATTAGCCTATGGAGGCTAATGTATTGTATTGGGCATGGCCTAATTTGCAGGAAATGCTCAGCATAACAAGCGGCTTTCTAAATAGTAGTATGTATACTATATACATACCTTGTACATGTACTTGTAGTAAATAAAGATATATTATATATTATTACAAGAAAATCTAGTACCCCCGAGTAGGCACATGTGGGGCACCTGTTGGTCCACCCCCGCTCTCACTCCCCACTTAGGGAGGTCTAATGGTACCTGGAGGTTACCTGGAGGTTATTCCGGGGATCAACGCCCCCGCGGCCCGGTCCATGACCAGGCCTCCCGATGGATCAGGGCCTGATCAACTAGGCTGTTACTGCTGGCCGCACGCAGTCCAACGTACGAGCCATAGCCCGGCTGATCCGGCACTGACTTTAGATATCTGTCCAGCTCGCTCTTGAAGGCAGCCAGGGGTTTATTGGCAATTCCCCTAATGCTTGATGGGAGGCTGTTGAACAGTTTTGGGCCCCGGACACTTATGGTGTTTTCCTTTAGTGTACCAATGGCGCCCCTACTTTTTATTGGGGGCATTTTGCATCGCCTGCCCAGTCTTTTACTTTCGTAGGGAGTGATTTCTGTGTGCAGATTTGGGACCATTCCTTCCAAGATTTTCCAAGTGTAGATTATGATATATCTCTCCCTCCTGCGTTCCAACGAGTACAAGTCAAGTGCTTCCAAGCGTTCCCAGTAGTTAAGGTGCTTGACAGAACTTATACGTGCAGTAAAGGATCTCTGTACACTCTCTAGATCTGCGATTTCACCTGCTTTGAATGGAGATGTTAATGTACAGCAGTATCCCAGCCTAGAGAGAACAAGTGATTTGAAAAGGATTTTGAAAGTTCTCATTATCCATCCTATCATTTTCTTTGCACGTGCGATCGTGGCACTGTTGTGATCCTTGAAAGTGAGATCCTCAGACATTACTACTCCCAGGTCCCTTATATTATTTTTTCCGCTCTATTGTATGGCCGGAGTCAGTAGTATACTCTGTTCTAGTTATTATCTCCTCCAGTTTTCCATAACGGAGTAGTTGGAATTTGTCCTCATTGAACATCATATTGTTTACCGTTGCCCACTGGAAAACTTTGTTATATCTTCTTGGAGGTTAACCGCGTCCTCAGCAGATGACAGCCTCATGCAGATCCTAGTATCATCCGCAAAGGATGATACGGTGCTGTGGTGTATATCTCTGTTTATGTCTGATATGAGGATAAGGAATAAGATGGGGGCGAGTACTGTGCCTTGTGGAACAGAGCTCTTCACTATGGCAGCCTCCGATTTAACTCTGTTGACCACTACTCTTTGTGTTCGATTTGTTAGGAAGTTGAAGATCCATCTCCCCACTTTCCAGTTATTCCTTTAGCACGTATTTTATGGGCTATTACGCCATGATCGCATTTGTCAAATGCTTTTGCAAAGTCTGTGTATATACATCTGCATTCTGATTTTCTTCCAGTGCATCCAAGGCCATGTCATAGTGATCCAGTAGTTGTGAGAGGCAGGAGCGACCTGCCCTGAACCCATGTTGCCCTGGATTGTGCAGATTTTGGGAATCCAGGTGATTTGCAATCCTGCTTCTTAGTACTCTTTCAAAGATTTTTATGATGTGGTACGTCAGAGCTATTGGTCTATAGTTCTTAGCTAATGCTTTGCTGCCACCTTTATGGAGTGGGGCTATATCCGTTGTTTTAAGTGACTGTGGAATTTCACCCATGTCCAAGCTCCTCCTCCATAGTGTACTTAGGGCACGCGAGAGGGGTTTCTTGCAGTTCTTAATGAAAACAGAGTTCCACGAGTCTGGGCCCGGGGCTGAGTGCATAGGCATGTTGTCAATGGCTTTTTCGAAATCTATCGGAGTTAGGGTAATGTCGGAAATCTGGCATACATTTATGGAGTTTTGAGGCTCATTCATGAAAAATCATTTGGGTCGTCGATCCTCAGACCGATTAGTGGTTCACTAAACACAGAGTCGTACTGGGATTTCAATATTTCACTCATTTCCTTGTTGTCATCTGTGTAAGTCCCATCCTGTCTGAGTAAGGGCCCGATACTAGATGTGGTATTTGCCTTGTTTTTGGCATATGAAAAGAAATATTTTGAATTTCTTTCAATTTCACTAATAGCTTTAAGCTCCTCCTGCCTCTCCTGGTTCCTGTAAGAGTCATTTAGCTTAAGTTCGATAGTTTCCACTTCCCTGGTCAGCGCCTCCTTTCTGTATCAGATATTCTAGCACTCCTGAGGAGCTCAGTGACTCTTCGTCGTCTTCTGTAGAGGGAGCGTCTTTTTCTCTCCAGTTTACTCCTGCTCTTCTTCTTTCTTAGGGGAATATGCCTAGAACATGCTTCGGCTACCAGGAAGTTGATCCTTTCAAGGCACTGGTTTGGATCCATGTCATTTAAGACATCTTCCCAACATGTTTCGTTTAGGACATGGTTTACCTGGTCCCAGTTGATGTTCTTGTTGTTGAAATTGTATTTTGTGAAGACACCTTCACAGGTACATGCATTCTGCTGTTCAGGACCCCTATGCATGTACGTCTGGACTTCGATTAGATTGTGATCGGAATTAGTTGTTTTTGATATTCTTATGTCTCTTATCAGGTCCTCATTATTTGTGAAGATAAGGTCAAGTGTGTTTTCTAGTCTTGTTGGCTCCACTATCTGCTGGCTTAAGGTGTGTTTTTCGCAGAGACTTAGTCAGCTCATGTGTGTGTGACCTTTCATCTGCGCTACCTCCGGGGATTGTTTCAGCTATAACATTATTTGCTACATTCTTCCATTTTGTTTCCTTAGGTTGAAATCACCAAGCAGTAAGATGTTTGGGGATGGAGCTGGAAGGTTTTCCAAACAGTAATCGATTTTCAGTAGCTGTTCCTTGAACTTTTGGAGGTTGCATCTGGTGGCTTGTATACAACCACAATGACTAGGTTTTGGTTCTCGATCTTTATTGATAGAACTTCAACTACCTCATTTGTGGTGTTCAGCAACTCCGTGCAGATAGGGACTCTTTGACATACAGGCCAACCCCCCCCCTTGTTGCCTGTTTTTTCTGTCGCATCTAAAAAGGTTGTAACCACTTATCCATATTTCACTGTCAAAGTGATCTTTTGTGTGAGTCTCTGTGAAGGCTGCAAACATTGCATTAGACTCCACTAGAAGTCCACTGATAAAAGGTATTTTGTTGTTGGTGGATGGCTTAGGCCATTCCTGTGATTTCCGACAATTATTATTATTAAGTAGAGGTGCGCAAAAGGGTGTTGGCGGCGACCATTTATAGAACGTTGTGTTGTAATCGGGAAATATATGGAAGTCACTGGGACCAGGCTTTTTCAGCAGGGTACCGTAGTATGGTGTGAGAGCATTGTTAGCGTTGTGAAAGGGAGGGGGTTGAAGTTCAGGGGATGGAACGGGCTCGTCTCCGGGGTTGGGTATGCACAAGGGCTGTGTTGCTGTGTGTATCAGTGTATTGTGTGGTTGTGGTGAATGTGGTTGTGTGAGCGGATGTGGTGGTGCAGTTATATAATGTGTTATAGCTGTCTTATGTCAGAGTCTACTACCTTCTTTCTTTGTTGACGTACTTGATTTACCTTTAGGCTTTGCCTGGCAAACGGGGTTTTATGTGTTTGTACCGAGCATTTTATTGCTGTATTATATAATGTGTATAGCCTGTAGATGAGTGCGGAATGCTTATGGCTTTTCTAGTTTTGTGGCTGACTCGTAAGACTTGTGGTAAGGCGAGTATGTGTGACTGTAGGGAACTTATGTACTGGAGGGTTAGTTGAGTACGAGTATGTACTTTGTTTTATCATGAGATTGTGATGTAGGTCCTTTCATTTATTGATTATTTGTGCAGGGTGTGAGTAACCGATATATTTATCGTAATATTCTTCTTATTGTATTGTGAATTGACAATATGTCACAGTAATATTATGTAAATAGTGTATACCTGAAGGGATTATGGATTTAATTATATTATTGAACCTGTTACAGGGGTCACCTACATGTTATGTTCTTGTTGTTGTTCTTGTGTAAGTAGGATTAAGATTACCCATCTTCTTAATGTTATGTTCTGTCATAAGTGATATTTTCTAGTGTATTTGTGTAACCTCTTTGTGACTGTTAATATTGTGTTTGTTATTTTGCTAGTGTACGTTCTGAGGGATTGTGATTCATAATGTCACGTGCGTCACATCTCACTCTCCGCCTATATATGTAATGTCTTTCTACCTCTGTATGTTAGAAGTGATCAAGGTTCCAGGACCGAAACGTTTTCTAATAAATATGTTATAGTGTTTGCTTACGTGTCTTTCTAAACCAACTTGTCGGTATTTATTATCAAGGTTTATACCACATTAAATATATATCACCCTTGTTTAAGGGTTTTATATTAAGCTATGTATTGTATTTTAAATAAAATATAAAAAAATATTATTATTATTACAATTATTATTATCGATATTATTGTTATTGATATTATTATTATTTTTGTGATGATTATTATTATTAATGCATTTACGGGGAAGCGCTAGATCAGTAAGGGTCACAAGACACCTGGAACCTGTTAGACTGTCAGCATTGATCCCTGGAAGTACAATATCGTCTCAAACTTAGAAAAATAAAAAAAACAGTCCCAAAACTGATATATGGAATTGATGATATAGAAAAAAATAATATAATATAACCGGGTTCGAGCACTGATGATAGCGAGGTGTGACACACACACACACACACACACACACACACACACACACATAGTTTTAAGGCGAGGTATGACAGAGCTCATGGGGCAGGGAGAGAGAGGACCTAGTAGCAATCAGCGAAGAGGCGGGGCCAGGAGCTAGGATTCAACCCCTGCAACCACAAATAGGT